GTTGGATCGTAGGGTGATATCAAAAGAATCAGATCTGGGCCAAATGAATGTTGTTGGCCCAGTGTTGACAGTCTGAAGCACATAAGCTAGTCTACCTTTTCTATAATTAATTTGCTTCATTTTCTCCATAATAATATCCATACCTCATGACTTTATAACAACCTCAAATTAGTTTAGGAAGAATAATGAACTCCGTTAGAGTGCTTTAGGCACGTTTTTAATTAGTTTATCGTGATTATGTATATGTTCGCGTGGCATAATTGTGATTTTCAAAATTAAAATCTAAGTATGTGTTCGTGCAACTTTGGCCAAAACAATCTTAATATAATAAAATGCTATTAATTGTGTACACGTACGCGTGACTTGATTTTGGCACAATAAACAAAACAGATTCACACATGCAATTCGTTTCAAAGATAATTCCATATTTTAATAATTAAAAGCGGATAGATAAAACAAGGAAACCAATAAACCACGGTTTATCCAAAATTAATTCAAGCCAAGTTGTAATCAATAAAGCTACCGTGCTAGAACCACGGGGCTCGGAGAATGCCTTACACCTTCTCCCCGGTCAATAGAATTCCTTACCCGGACTTTATTTTTTGCAGATCAATAATAAAAGAGTCAAATCTTCCTTTGAATAGGGATTCAAATAAAAGGTGACTTAGAACACCCAAAAATCAAATTTCAAGTGGCGACTCTGAATAATAAAATAATCCCTACTTCAAAAATGTCACTTTAATTGGGAAAACTCTTTAACCCACAACAATTCACATAATATCTTTTGTGGGGTAGAAAATGGGTGTGACAACAGATACTTTGGATTGGCTAGGAACTATTTTTCGATTGCTGAAACATAGGCTTCAGATGAGTCCCAATATTTGTACCACTTGGAGTGACCTTAGAGGGCTAACCATAGTAGTCCTTTATGTCATTTTGGTTTATGGAAGAAAGATTTTTGGGAATAAATCTACGGGATGTGAAAATCTATGAGAAAGTTGAAGAGTATGAGTACTTGTTGCTTACTAAACAACCTGCGACACAAATAATCATATCCTTTCCTTACTAGTGGAGGGAGGATATCAACCCTATGACCATAAACATGCAACTACTCATGCATAAACCATTAAGGGAATTTAGAGACTAGTTGTTTATTCTAAAGAATAAATCATGAATTTTTTTTGAGGTAGTTCTGAAAAATGAATGCATTCATCTATGTCGCATGGTAGTCACAATAGTTGTAAAATTCTCAGTTCAAAAGGTTGGGAGAGTCTTCTGTATTTAACTGGATGCATGCCCCATTTTTTCGGTGAGATTATTTTATTAATCCACCCTGTACTATGAATAACATATGTCTGTATCTACTTATCCTTGTAGGATTTGAATAAATAGGATCTGCTATTTGTGAGAATGAACTCATAAATTTTCTTGGTCAGCTGGTTTGATTTTAGTTTGTCTAGGTTCTTCAAATTTAGTAGAGAGTTGTTGCAAAATAAGACGATCTAGTTCTTGTTTAGCTTTGATTTCACGGATTTCTTCCTTAAGGAGTTTTATCTCAGATTGAAGATCTTGGACAGTTACTTCCTTAGGCTTTTAGGAAGAAAACCTATTGAGAATATCAATAATGTATGTGTGTATGTATGTAAGTATGTGTATTTATGCGTGTGTGTGTTTATGTGTACGTGTGTGTGTGTAGTTGCGTATAAGGGCCATTAATATTATTGGATGTGCGGCCAAATGTGTAACTTTTCTCGTATTCAATTGGTTTGAAAATCAAACAGGCTTCTAAGCTCTATGGCCTTCATAAATGGGCCACAACCCCAATATCTGTATAGTCTTTTATTGAGATACTGGTATATATTAGCATATATATATATATATACACACACTAATAGGATAAAAGATGGTCAAAGAATAGACCCCTTTCCACTTAGGGATTTTTTTTCTTCCTATACAATATTTGAAACTTATTTATTAAAATTGTCTTACTTTTGTATATTACCCGCCCTAAACAAGGTTTGCTTACAATTTATATAGAATCCATTATTAATGTCTTAAATTAGGGGATTCAGTTATAACTTTTTTTCTTTTGTCTCTCCACTCCTCTTTCGCTATTCTTTGTCGCCTCTCTCCATATACAATCCATTATTAGTATTTTAAATTAGGGGAGGTCAGTTACATCCTTTTTCTTTTTTCTCTCCTCTTCTATTTTCTATTCTCTACCACCTCTCTCCACATACAATAGTTTGAGAGAGTCAATGCATAAATAATCTAACCAGACGTGATGCCGGCAATTTGGATTCAACGCCCATTCTATTCATAACTCCATCATCACTTTAAAAGTTGTACAATAAATTATATTCGTAACTCCATTATTTGGATTCAGCGTCCATTCTATTCATAACTTCATTATATTCATATACAATAAATAATCATGTAGAGTGGCATCTATCAAGAAGTGATGTTCTAGATTAGACACCCATTGACTAGTAATTTATGTTTATCCCTCAGCGCCAAACCAAAACAATAGAGACACTGACGATAGACATCATCTAAACCAGACAAGTTAAATATCGAAATATTCAAATTTGATACATCTACAACATATAAACTAAAAACAAATTTTATACAACTAATTATATAGTATATAAATTATTTATAACTTATCTACAACTTTCATATATCATTTTTACCCAGTTAAATACAACTATAACATCCTGCAACTTAAATATAATTTTCATACAAATTTTATACAATATGGTTTTTTTAATGTATTTTGTATATATTTTGTATGTGGTATGTTCTTCTTTCTCTCTGAAATTTCAATCAAAACTTCCTCTCTTAATACAATTTTGATACATATCAATAACTTTATGTAAAAAGATAGTATTTATAACTTAAATACAAATTTCATACAACGATTCATATATTATACGACTATTTTTTAACTTTCATACAACATTTAAATAAATATATATATAACTACAACAGAATACAACTTGAATATAATTTATATACAACTATAAAACAACTTTAATACAATTTTGTAAGTATATTGTATATCATGTGTTCTTCTTCTTCTTCGAGTTTCAATCTGAAATTCAGCCAAAATCAAATCCAATCTTCACTTAACACCCTTAAAATTGAGATATAAACTCCAAAAGATATTTCCAATTATTTGCAACAATACCCAATCCAAACAAATAATAGTTTTTGAACCAAACTCGAATCCAAAGCTTCAAAACTTTTTAATAGTTGTCAATAGTGGAGAGTCAAACACCTTCAAAATTTATTGATTGACAATTTTAATTCGAACACCAATTGTGCAACATGAAAAGAAATTGCTAAGTTAAAACTCTATAGTAAAACGATTAAAATCTATTGATAAATTCCGTTAAAACTATATACAACATCAAATGAAGAAAATTGGGGAAAGAACAGAGAAGGAGAGATAGAGAGACGGAGAGAGAGAGAGAGAGAGAGAGAGAGAGAGAGAGAGAGAGAGAGAGAGAGAGAG